TAAATATGCAGGTTTATGCTTTAACTTCTTGAAATATATGTATTGATGGTAGAATCAGAATAAAGTTACACAATAATTTGCATATCAGTATATTAGTGATATGAGTACATCTTTTCCAATTTTAATCAACACAAAAACATCTACATTATTCGTAATACATAATCCGTCCCTTAACGCGTTGCACAACGAATTACTTGCTTATAGTTTAACTGTATGGCAATCATAAAGTATGTTAACTATGTCAACATCAATTCTGTTAAAGCTACTATCGGTGCATGTGGAGGACAGTACACTGGTGATAGTGGTTATATATATTCCCCAAACTTCCCCGGCAAGTATCCACGTGACCAGAATTGTATATGGACGATTACAGTTGAAGACAACAATATAATTCAGCTTAGTATATTGATGGATAAGATAAGTACTGGTGATTACCTGGATATAAGAGATGGTGATGACGTAACGGCACCACAAATTACATGGAACAGCATGACACTGTACAGTTCTATAAATATATTACGGTTACAATTTTATTCCAACTCAGATATGAACACAGACTTAGGATTTGTGTTGACATACCAAGGTAAATCATATTGAACCTATTTGTAATGAACCTATTTATAAGAAATGCTGATATAGTTGCGGTAAATTTATGCATTCACCCCTGCTAATGTTTCAGTTTTACTCAACCGATAATCGGTATAGCTAGGGATCTGTCAATCTTACGTCATTTTAAATTTAATCGATATTCAAGGAACCTCCATGGGAAATAACGCATTTCAGTGTATGGGTATTCATTTTCTATCCCCGCATTTCCCCCGGACCCTATACGTTGCAAATAAATCTTTGTAACTTTGATTATGTAATTAACTCTATACAAACGAAATCAGATTATGAAAAGAAAATGATTAATTAACGGCCAATTAGACCGTTGATAAACATTGACACCATCATGATATGTCAGGTTATTAAATTTTTATTACGGTTAGACTGCGCCAAAATATTGCCAGAGTTTAAACGCAATATTTGACTGGAGAGCGTTCAAACCAGTCTATCATATTACAATTTCAATATTTGCA